AGTTATATATATATTTAAAATATTACATAAATAATATACATGTATCTACATGAACTTGCAGTAAGGTGGAAAGCATTTAGCTGTGATTGTGTTGAATGTGTACATAAACACATACATACACTTTTTGTTTCTGCTTTATCATGCTTCCCAGTTGCTGACTTGCCCAGCTGGTAAGTTCAGGACATAGAGCCTCAAACCATTTGGACACTGGTGCAAGGGATGGGGCTGGGGCTGGGACCCTCGTGCTGCAGCCCCAGGTCGGGGCTGTCTGCCAGGCACCAGCCAGGAAATGTGCGGTGGAGCTGAGCTCTGCACCTCTGGTGGGACTTTTCCCAAATAATATCCTCTGCTGCACTTCTGGTTATTTTCAGGAGGAAAGCCTCGTGTATGAAGGGACCTTTTGAAGGTCGCTTCCAACCCAATACGTTCTATGACTCTATGTTGTATTAGTATTATGAGTTTAAAACTCTTTCATTTTGTGGTCAGTGTATGCATCCTAATGTAATGGTGGAAAAGTGCTACATAATTTAGTTGTATTTCCGTTCAGATCATCACTGGGGTTTTTTGTTTTATTTAGTGAGGCAACGAGTTCTTAAGAGACGGTCTCATAAGTTGTATATGGGACCAAAAGAAGAATTGAAGTTGATTGTCACAGAGCCTGAAACAGCACTAGCTGCTAAAGAGGAGACATTTGAAGAAAAATTAGTTCCCACAAAGGTGAATAAAACTGGTAATCCTAACCAGAGGTTTGAAATAGGGGTGAAAGCGTCAAATCAGTCACTGATATTTTGCTTTCTTTTTGTTTTAGGCTCTGAATGCCACAAGCAGCCTTCAAACAAAAGGTAAAATATTATCTATCACTCGGTGTGCCAGTTCTTCACAGAACGAAGATGTTGGTGCTCTTCTCAACACACAGGTGTTGGAAGTTTCTGAGCTTGGCAGCCTGGCTCAGGTGATACAAGGGACGATGCCTCACCAGGGATGCTGTAGACTTGATCACTAAGGATGGAGTTCACCTTGCCAGACTTAAACCATGTGCTTGGTTTTAGCTTCTAAAAAAGCCTTTTAATCAGAGCAGCATCTCCAGAAAGGGGTTTGGTTCCCTTACCCAGCATAACTGCTCTACGATAAGATCTGTGTAGAAACACCTAGATTGAAAGTCTTAAGACCCAGCCTGGTGGCTTTGTGCTCCCTACAACTAGGGGAGCCTGTAAAGGCCAGTGCTGCATCTCCCCAGTACCTCAGTGACTCCAGCTAGGCCCTCACTGAGCTATGTTCTGCTAAGTTTCATGATTCAGAAAGCAATCTAGAAAACAGTACAACCTAGAAAACACCCAGATATATCTGGATCCACGAAGAGTCAATACTTGGCGCCAAGACAGACCTGTTAATCAGAAAGTTCTTCAGTAATTCCCTCTTAGCATTTCCTTTCCCTATGAAGTCTTGTTCAGTGCAGTTTTGGGTGTTTTTTCTCCTTTAAAAAGCAGGTACTCAAACTTGTCACCAGGTGGATTTTATTATACTACAGAGGACCCCGAAAATCTCAAGATACTGCTTTTAATAGCTTTGTTGGGTCAGCCTAAATCAGGTTGAGTTTTTTTGAACTTTGGACATAGTGGAGCAAATGATTTCTGTCGGTGATCTAGAAATTCATAACTAGTATCTGTGGAGCTATTGCTTCTGCTGTTATTTTGTTTGTTTTCCTTTTGTTTGGCTTAGGCTGGTAGGTCATCTGCAAATTCTATGGGTTTGGTATCAGTTGTTCTTGTACCTTGGGAGAGCTTGTACAGCTGGCGAGGGGGCAGAGCCAGCCTGTTTGCTCTGCTGCCTGTTAGAGCCTTCCCACCCCACGTCTCCGTCTCTATCCTTGGGGCTGCCTCTGGCCTGTTGGGCGCTGTCTGAGGATTTTGGAGTGTTTTTGAGCAAAAGCAAGCAGAGGCCTTCCATGCACAACCCCCATCCCTGATCAGATGTTGAACTGCTCCACTGAGCTCCTCTGCCCTCAGTCCTATGTGTCCTCTGCCACAGCCAGAGATGGTGGCCCTGGAGGCAGACACTGTGAGCGCTGGGGTTTCAGTCGATGCTCATCTCACCACCATGGTGCAGGGATGTGCTAGTTTACCAAAAGGGGGAGCTTGTGTTCATTGGGGCAAGGAGTGGATAGCTGCTTTTGTTTGCAGGTGTCCATCTTGAGCACCCTGGGGTGCCCTTTGGCCTGTGCCAGGCCCCTGCCACCCTGCAGTGCTCTGTGACCTTTGTCTTCTGTGACTTGTTGGATGGTTGCATTGCTGCCCTCCTGGGAGACACTTTTAGTTGTCAGGCAGGCAGAAGAGTATGTCATCTGCATTCAGGAGGGTCTGGAGATGGGCCTTCCTCTGGCAGCTGCTGAATTTCTGGGGTACTCAATGGGCACCTCTGTTATATTTTTTTTTTTTATCCACAAAAATTTGTGTTGTCTCTGACAGCTTTCTGTGCACACGGGTCCCTCAGCACTGTCATGCCACACTGATGGCCACCAGAAGGCTTTGTATGGAGTGACCCAGAGCTGCAGATGTCCTGCGCTGTGTTCGGGCTTGTTATGCCTGCGCTCAGGCCCAGAAACGATGTGGAGGCTGCAGGGTCTGTCGTGATCCTCTCCAGTGCCTGAGCGGCTGCTGCCAGTGATCTCAGTGGATTTCAGTTTGTTAATGTCTCTGACCCAGAGATGTACCAGTGACCTTGGACTTACTTGTGTTTATTTTTGTGCTGTCGAAGAAGCTGCTTGCAGCCCCACAGAATATTGCATCTGGACTTTCTTGTATACCGGAATGTCCCAGGATATTCTGCAGTATTTGATTGGTTAGACAATCTCTTTTCTTGGGAAAGGAGAGGAGAGAAAGAGTAAGCAGAATCTGTTTATTCCAGAAAGTGTGTACTAATATATCATGTGGCTTATGTCTCTTTTCTGTTGAAGGTGATGCAGAAGCCTTGGAGAAAGCAGAGAGTTTTGTTCCAAGTGGTGAACTCCAGGAGGAAGCTGGCTCTGTGGAGAACGTCGTGGAAACGTCTGCAAAGACCTCATGTTCAGTGGTGTTTGAGAACATAAAAGGTTGCAGTTTGAAGTGCTTATGTGTGCTGTTGGAGAACATCAGCGGCCTGGCAGTAGATGACGACTTCACTGTGGAAGTGATACCTGAAATAAATGTTGCCGTAGCTACCTTTGTCAAAAGTATTGGTGGTAAGACAGGATGAACATCATTGTTCATTTCCATGTGTATATATATGTGAAATAGCTTTCAGAGCTTGATTCATCTTCTGTTAGAGATTCAGTTTTAAAAAGTATCTGGACTGTAGGTCTCTCAAAGATGTAAGTCTCCTATACAGCTCCATGACAATGCCCATGATCCAAATGCTACTCTGAAAAAAGAAAATTGTGCTATCTTCATTAATTGAAATTGCATGAGAATGCTTCGTTGTCTCTATCTTATTTTGGGTTAGATGGAGAATTAGAAGTGGACTGAGTGTGAAGATAAGTGCTGCAAAGTATTGAAGTGTGTGAAGTCACCATTTGAGAAGAATGGAACAGTGAGAAGTGCTTAGTTTATACAAGAGATGAGAGGTGAACAGGGACATAGTGATAGTGATTAGCAGAGTGTGTTTCCCCTTTTTTTATTACATCACAGAGTTATATGGCACCAAAAAGTTTTGCTCCAAATACAGGAAGTAGATTCAGCTCGCTTCTCTGCCAGAGGTGATAGCTGGGGCTGATAATGACCCAGGAAAACATAGTCAGTTCATACTGCTCTTCTGTTTACAGATACTGAAAAATTTCTCCAAAAATGTTCACAAAACAAGAGAGTTAAAGAATTCAAAATGACTGCCAGGCTTCTTGAATGCACCCAGAGCATCAAGGCTGAACATGTCCCGGCCAGCGTTTCCACAGACGACCTCTCGGTTTACTTTGAGAGCACGCAGAGTGGAGGGGGACCCGTGTCAGACATCCAGCTCTTCCCAGAGGAGAGCTCGGCCATCATTACTTTCTGTCATCACAGAGGTAACGCTGTCCCTTGCCTGACCAAAGTGCTCCCAGGTGGAGTACCCAGCAGAAAATCGCTGCCCATTTGGGCACTAGGAGGCGGCTGGCTTGCGGCCGCCAGAGGCAGCGTGCTCTATCCGGTCCCTGCGGAGTCCTCTGGGTTACAAATCCTGCTGCGTCTCTGGGGTTTCGAAATTGCTCTGGCTCGGGCTTCCCAAAGGTTCACTTTAATACCTGCTTTGTGCATGGGTGGGTTCCCACTGCTGGTGTTTCCCTGTTAGAGGTTTTTGTCTGCAATACAACGTGAATTGTACTTGTGGGGGCATGTCCTGGTTTCAGCTGGGATAGAAAGCATTTTCCTCCTCAGTAGCTAGAACAGTGCTGTGGTTTGGATTCAGTGTGGGAGCTGGCATGAGAAAAATGCTGATAATATACTGATGTCTTTACTTGTTGCTAGGGAATCAAGGACTTTTCGGCTTCCCATGCTTTGCTGACGTGCAGGTGCAGCAGAAGCTGGGAGGGAGCATGGCCAGGGCATCTGACCCGAACCAGGCAGAGGGATACTCCCCACCAGAGAACATCATGCTCAGTATATAGACTGGGGGGAGCTGGCCGGGGGCTGCTCAGGCATCAGTCAGTGGGTGGCTGCGTCACTTGCTTTCCTGGGTTTTGTTTCTCTCTCTCTTTACATAACATTACTTTTCATTACTATCGGTATTATTATAATATTTTCTTATTGTTGTTATCATTTGATTTTATTTTAGTTGCTAAACCGTTCTTGCCATGACCCAACGAGTTTTACTGCTTTTCTTTTCCAATTCTCCGCATCCCACTGGGAGGGGGAGTGAGTGAGCAGCTTGCTGGTGCTTAGTTGCTGCCTGGGCTTAAACCATGAGAGAAAGGAAGCAGGGTTCGTTAGTGACTTAAGCTTTCACAGATTTCGGAAACTAAGGAAGGTGAAATATGTTCATTGTTGGGGAAGAACAGAGCTAAAGAACAGTTTTGTTACTCTTCCTTGTGTTGAATCCCTGTCCCATTTCTGTGCCAGCACAACCCCTGGTAAATATCTCTGTGTTAGGAGGCTCCTGACTTAGTAAATTGCTTTACTTCTAATTAAAGTCATCTGCCAGGTGATCGTTTTTCTTCTGACTCTTGGAATTTGCTTCAGAATATTTTGTACATTAAGTCAATATGTAGTTTGGATCATTGTAATGTGGTTTCAAGTCCCTGCTAATATCATAATTCCATCTCAACCAGAACAATTAAAGGGAAAAAAAGTAAAAATGCAATAGCACAAAAAGTTTTACTTTGAGGGTAAGTAGAATTTCATAGTAGTAACAATATGCCCCTTCTCTGTGGTGGGGTTTCTTTGGGAAATGGGAGCAAGGTGTAGCCATAGAAGTAAATACAGGCACAAGCATATTTACCAAACTAATCAGAGCCAAGCTTTTTATATGGTCCCCTACAGAGTGGTTTGGAAATCAGAGAGACTTAAAAATAGCTTTTTCAAATGGAAAAAAAAAAAGTTACTTCATTCAATGTAAGAGCTCTAAGAACAGAGTCATTGTCTTGATTTGAAATTAAATATATGTGCATTTGTCTCTGTATGTGCTAACTTCTAGATGTAAACTCTGTCTTGGAAAAGCAGCATGTTCTGGAACAGACACAGATTTCTGTGCATCCATATTACCACTCCCTGAGAACAGCTCTCTATGGAGCAGCAAGACCAACTATCAAGGTGCCACTAGATCCCTATGTCTGGCAGTTTTTACAAAGGCAGCCTAAACTGATCCAAGACATAAACCAGGAAATGGCAGTTTGTCATTGTGAGCTTAAATGGCCTCAGAGAGATGGTGGACATCCAGAAATTATGTTGTGCCCATCATCATCTCTCTCCAAGCTGAGAAAGCCAATGATGAAGTTGATCAAGACGTGGAAGCGAGATGCTACTAATGAGTTCTTGCTTATCATGGGACGTTACACAGCTATAGAATGTAAAGTAAATTCAGAGAATTGGGAAGAAGTGAAAAACAGATTGGTGAAAGATGTTGCTTTGATCATAATTGATATTTCTGAGGACACGGTGGTGATTGCAGGCAACAGGGCAGCAGTGGGCAATGCAGAGAAAGACTTGAGGAAATGCATGGAGAAAGCCACGAAGCAAAGTGAAAGGACAAACCAGAGCATTGAAATTTCTGTGTCACTGATGCCAGGGAAGTATGCTGTTCTGCACAACACCCACCTAGAAGAGAAGCTTCACAAAGAATATCCGTGCTTAAGGATCTTTTATGACAGCACAAAAAAAACTGTTCAGTTGTGTGGCTTACCTGCAGAAGTACATAAAGTCAAAGCTGACTTGCTGGAAAAAGTAAGGAATATGCCGTTCACATCATTTGCCATTGATCCCCATGTTTTCTACTATCTGCAGCAAGTAGATAATAAAACAATGTCAGAGATGTTATTCACTAGGAAAAAAATCAATGCTTTTTATGAGCTTGAGGGTGATACCATGTTGCTATTTGGAGATGCTCCCGAAGATCTCTTGGAAGCAAAAAAGCAAATAAAGACAGGCTTAGAATATGAGTGCATCAAAGTGGAGGATGGTGAGGTCATTAAGAAGGAGCAGTGGAGGAATCTCCTCGCCTCCTTGCGTAAGAAGTACAGTTCCTCCCAGGAAACCATAGTCATTGATGAAGCTGCTGGAAAAGAAAATGAAGTGATTATTGCTGGTTTTTCTAAGGCCGTAACAGAAGTTTATCAGAAACTTAATGATTTTATAGATAGAAATACACATGTGGAAAAAGTAATCCCAGCTAAGGCAGTGGTGGCAGTGCAGTTTGTAGAGAAGGAAAAATCCAATGTTTATCTTGAATTGAGGAAGAAAGGTGTGACGGTACGTTTTGAAACCAAGACACCATGTATTTCCCTGAGTGGGCCAAGATCAGAGATGCCAAAAGCAGTTGCTATGTTTGAAAAAATTATCTCATCCCTTTACTTCAAAAATGTGACAGTTGATAAACCGGGAGCTAAAGAGTTCTTCGCTGAGAGGAAAGATTCTTGTGTTTTTGAGGCAAAGCAGAAATTTAGCTGTTTGATTAGGCTGGCAGAAGAAGAAGAAGAAGAACAACAACAGAAACAGGAGGGTGAAAAAGTCAGTGATAAAGAGAAAAGCAAGCGCTACTGTGAGCAAATACTGCCAGACGGAGTTGTCGTAGCAGTGTATAAAGCTGACTTGTGCACTCATCCTGTTGATGTCGTGGTAAATGCATCCAATGAAGACTTGAAACACATTGATGGCCTTGCCAAGGCACTGTCACAAGCAGCTGGTCCAGAGCTGCAGCAGGAGTGTGACAGGCTGGTGAGGAGGAACGGGAACCTGCAGCCTGGCTGTGCCGTTATCACGGGCTCCGGGGAACTTCCCTGCAAGAATGTCATTCATGCTGTCGGGCCCAGGTGGAGGAAGGATGAAGCAGAAAAGTGCTTGCACCTGTTAAGGAGGACAGTGAAGAAAAGTCTACAACTAGCTGAAACCTACAATCATCATTCTATAGCTTTACCTGCTATAGGTGGAGGGATCTTTGGCTTCCCGCTGCAGGTGTGTGCAGATTCGATTGTATCTTCCATCAAGGAGACCTTGGAAGAATCCATGGGGGATAGCAGCTTGAAGGAGGTTCATCTGGTGGATAATGCAGAAGAAACAGTTCAGGTTCTGAGTGAGACAGTAAAAAAAGTGTTTACAGCTAAATCATCCTCCCCAATACTGTCACCAAGCTTGGAGAAATGTAAGCTGAGAGAAGGCCAGGAGAAGAGAAAAGAGCACTTAGAGATGGTTAGAGGTGGTCCACAGGTGGTTATGACAAATGAAGGACTTTGCATCCGAGTAGAGGAGAAAAATATTCAGGATGCCACGGTAGGTCTTCTATTTTCCACTTCTTTTCTAAACTGATGTGAAGATTTTGAAATTTAATTAGAAAAGGAAGGGTAGTAGGTTATATTATTTCATGAGGTAATTGCTATGAAGGAAACAGGTACACATTAGCTACACAAGGATGCAGGCTGGCAAAACATGGATTTCAAATTTGTCTCTGTCCTTCTACAGCTGTTGCTAGTGCGCGCAGCTGTGAATTTTGGGATGTTTTGTTCACAGCTAGGTTTTATTCATTCCCCAGATCTGAGGTGAACAGGTAAAACAGTTTACTTTTTTTTCTAAAAGGGAAATATGAAAATATTTTCTAAAAGTATTTAGAAGATCTGTAGCTATCTAGGTTGGTTATTACAGGAAATCAGCACCTGTCTGGGCTGCTGTCCTGAGTCATGCTCACAGGGACGGTGTCACTTATTTTTTTTTTTCGTTCCCTTCTCTTTGGTTGGGATAAAGACACAGTCTATGAAGAATTTACTTGGGCTGTAGAAAAGCGACCCCCATAGAAGAGTGCGTGCTTGGGTTGTTTTGCCTGATTCTGCTTTTCCCCTCCTCCTCCTCCCATTTTCTTTTTTCATTCTTTCTGCTAACAGAGTTTACCTGCTCCTCATCTAGACCATCAAGAGTCAGTTCACACCTCTGATGCAGTTCTTTTCTTTTTGTTCTTCAGTGATGCAAAATGCATCTTGATAACGTCTCTGTTTTCAGTGGCCCACATTTTTTTTATATTTTGGGAGTTTAAAGTCTCCCTACATCATCATCATCATTATTATTGTTATTATTATTTTATTAGTATTTTTATTATTTATTATTAGTGAAACAGCAGGGTAATAATTATATTAGTTGCTTCATTCATATTGGTGCCTGTAAAAGCCTGTTCCAATAAGGGAGCAATACAAAATGTAAAAAAACCTCAAAAAGACACACATTTAAAATATTTTGTAATTAAAACGTCTCCAGTAGAAAAAGGCAAAGCAAACACCAGACTCTGGGGCTCTGCCCATTTTACTTCATGAGAGCACAGCAATGTCCCTTCACCTCATTTTGGTGCATTCGGTGCTGCTTTTCCAGTAAGGTGTCGACCATCCCACCTCAGTGAAAGGGACATTCAGCTTTCTGCGTGGCGTGTACCTTATGCATATTTTGCATCCTGTGATGATGCTAAAGAAGAAGGAGCAATACTGCAGCAGGGAAATATAAGAAAGTCTGGGCCCGGGGAGAGAGGGTGAGGCAGACTGCGGAGGTTGGGCTTATTTCTCAGCATGCAGAAGCTGTGCTGAAAATCAGGCTATTTCTCTGTTGGCATCTTGTTTGTCATGCTGTGCCTTGTCTCTGTTGAAGTCTTGATGTGTATTTTTACTTGCAGTCTGTTTATAGCTGTTGTCACTGGAATTTTGTTGCAGACGGATGTTATTGTCAACAGTGTTGGCACAGATCTGGAGTTTGGCGTGGGGGCACTTTGCAGAGCCTTGCTGGAAAAGGCTGGGCCAGAGCTCGAAGAAGAGTTTTATGAAGAGGAACAAAGACAGTTTGCTGGTCAAGGGAGTGTGCTCTGCACCAGTGGATGTCGTCTAGCCTGCAAGTTTGTGCTGCATGCCATACTTCCTGTATGGGACAGAGGAAAAGGACAGACCCTGAAGGTACGTTTTAATTGTTTAAAAAAAAAAAAAAATTTTTTTGAAAACGGCTTTATTTTGGATCTTATCCTGAAGTTTCATGATTTGAAGTAGTTGATGACTCAACTCCATTTACTTTTGTTGGAGTGACCTTAAAGATGTCTTGATGCACTGAGAGCTTTTTGTTGGACCAATGTAGTCTCTATGGAGACTATTCTATGGAACTAATAATAAATGAAGCCTTATTTTATTTTTTAAAAAAGGAACTTTGCTGTGTTTTACAGACCCTAGAAGATGTAATCAATGCCTGCTTGAAGAAGACTGAAGAATTTGGACTGAAATCAATTGCTTTCCCAGCTATTGGAACTGGAGGATTTAGATTTCCTAAAGCTGTTGTTTCTAAATTAATGTTTGATGTGGTATACAAGTTCAGTAGTCATCACACTCGAAAGACTCTACAGGAAGTTCATTTTCTTTTGAATCCAAAAGACACGGGTAATATTCAGGTAGTTATTCTCAGGACAAAGCTGTCTATGTTACATATTGTTCACTTACAATATATTTTACATATTTAGCTTTCCTAAGGGAATAATTTAGTACTTTCCTCTTGCTGTGGGCTGGTGACAGTGGGATATCTCATTCAGCGTTTCTGAAATTTGAACTTCAAGCAAGCAAAAGGTGGAGACCAAATTGGCCTTGCTGCTGGCACTGTGAATACCTCTAGGTGCTCTCTCATCTTTGGACAGAGTTCTGTCAATGCAAAGACAAGGATCTGTTATCACACTGTCCAGAGTCTTTCTCTATTATTAATGATACCGAAACATCACTGTAAAACATGCTGGGTGGCTCAGTGAAGAGCTGCGTGGCTGTTAATGTTAATTATAGAAATATTCAGTATAGAAACTCTGAAATAATAGCTTTATTACATTTTTCCTCCTCTCAGGCTTTTAGTGTTGAACTAAAACATAGAGCAGCTGAAAGTGGCAGTGCTGAAGCACCATCATCAAGTAAGTTGTGTAGGGGCAACAGGTGGGGCATGGGGGAGAATGTGAATACTGTAAGGTGGTTTCATATGTATCAGGAAATAGATGAAGTGCCATCAAGACATGGGGCATTTTATTTCCTCCTAACAGGCTGGCACTCTTAAACTCCATTTGTAAAAAATCCTAGAGGAATTTCTTTTGTTGAGGTCATGCTCTTTTCTTAGTGAGGTTTGTCTTGCCACGTGGAAGAGGATATATCCTGGTAGAAGAACCATTAGCTTGTCCTACTCAAAGGCATAAGAACCTGGTTTCCTATTGCCAACTGACATGTAATTCTGTACCTTTCATCTCCTATATAGAGACAGAATGGATAGTTTCCTTTCCATTTATTAATTGATGTTAGTGTGACTCACTAGCAAAAAAAAGGAACTGCATAAAGAGCAGAGACTTATTCATAAGAATATATAACTTTCTTCTCAGCTGCTGTATCAGTGAGAAGAAATTAAGAGCGTGCTGGTAAAATATGAATTGGTTAAGTTTAGACTAGAAGTAAGGAACCATTTTTGTATCTCTGAGGGTAAAGATGGAAAAAAACCTTACAAAAGTGATGTGATGGGATCTCCATTACTGACAGTGCTTAAACTGGCTGCTCTACTGTCCGAGTTAATTCAGGAAGCTGTTTCAGAGCTAATCAGATCAGATAACCCAAGGGTCCTTTCTGAATTTTTATTGTGTAAATTTATAGGAATAGAAATTTTTTTCACATTCACAGTATTTAAAGGGAAAGAAAACTGTGTCTTCCTACTTTCAGAAATGGAGTAAATAGAAAGGCAGAGACTTTCTAGGTCCATCAAACTGATCTGGAGAGTATTCCTTAGAAGAACAAGTGGAAGCTTCCATCAATGGAAGAGAATAACACCCCAAACCAGAGGATAAGTGTTTTAAGGTATTTTTCTTTTCCCTTGCAGGCTTCATTACACCTGTTTCAACTGAAGTATTGGGAGCTCATGAAATGCAGATTGGTTCTGTTACACTACAAGTAATTAGTGGAGATATTACCAAGGAAGATACAGAGGTTATTGTAAACATATCAAACCCAACATTTGATTCCAGATCAGGTATTGTGAATATGTAGTTCCTTAGTTCAAGAACTAGCTCAATTTCTTAGACTTGAGCTAGTTTTTAGAAGGTGAAAGGAAGAATTGTCTTTGTGAAACTTTTTATAGAGTATTTTTTAGAGAGAGTTGTGATTAGTCAGGAAATCAATCTTAAACTCTTTTTTTGTGTTCTGAGTATTCCATGTAGTTTCTAAACTATCCAAACAGAAGGCATCTGACCTGATCTTTCTTGTTTAAAACCAAAAATGTTTAAATAAAAGGGAATTTTTTTTAATAAAATATAATTCTGAAAAGCCACTCTTGTCCAAATATGTTTCACTGTGAGCCAAAGCCCTGGTTAAGTAAATTAACCTGTAAGGAGCAGAGGATTCTTCGGTGACATTGTGAATTGCAAGCATGAAAGACATCAAATGACAGAATTCAGAGCAGTGTGAGAGTTTGAGGGCCATGCTATTGGCTGGTGAAACTATGAAATAGGAGTTAATGATTTCTAATCAATAATGAAGGCAGCATTCTCTTTGCAGCCAGTGCAGTAAGGTCATGGAGGGTACTTAGGGGAACTGGCAAGGTCTTGCACTTTGTGTGATCTTGCCGTAGGAGAATTTGGGGTATTTGTAAACTACAGAAGCTGCGTTGAGTTTTGAATAGAAATAGCTAAGCTGACTTAATGTATATGCTTTTCATATATCATTTAAGGGGTCTTCAGAGCAATTGTGGATGCTGCTGGTTCCAATGTAGAAGATGAATGTGCTCAATATGGTATGTTAGAGCATACTGTTTGGTTTGATTTCTTTTTGTTGTTCTCTCTGAAAACTTATTTTATAGATCTCTACTCTGATGGTACAATTATTTCATCTGAAAAAAGCGCCTTCACTTTTAGGAATTCTGAAAATTTGTTATTGTTTTGACACCTACTTTGAGAATTTTTAACAACTGAACAGGAGATGGATACAAGTTTCTGATGCTAATAAGTGCTGGGAAATTAATGTAACTTAAGTTCTTTACCTCTGAAATTAGTCGTGTGTTCCTGACTTAAAACAGGAGGCAGTCCCGTTGGGTTGAGCTTAGGTTTTAAGCTCATCTACTGGAGAGATCAAGTTCTGGAACTGAACTAAGTGGTATAAGACTGTCTTTCAGTGTAAGCACGTGCAGGGTTGGCTTTTAAAAATTAATAGCAAATCTGGGCTTCTGTTTACAAATAAATCATTTTTTTATTGATATAGTGTAATTCTGCTTATGACCTTGACAATGAGTTCTTCTGTAGTCTGCATTCTGCCAGACCAGCAGAGCAGTGAAATCCCAGCTCGCTGTGGTTGGCCTCTGTGAGCACAGAAAGAAACACATTGTGGTTGCATGCATAAAATGTTCCTGCAGAGTCCAGAACTTCACTTTCCAGATGGAGTTTGGGGATATTTTTCCCAATCTTTGGCTCTGCAGGATCTCCCTGATTATCAGCCTGGTCTCAGCACACGTAGAGCATCTTACAGTCAGTTGTTACCCTTGTGACCTGTGAAGTGGTGTGCAACTCCCGTGTTCATCAGTCCCTTCATTTGCACAGCATGGCTCCATTTTGAGGTGTTTGAAATCAAACATAAACGTTCGGGGGGAAAAAAAATTCCGTACCCCAGTTCTTGGATCAGTTGTTCGTTATGTTATGATGTTATTTTAACCATTTGGCTCTTTTGCAGAATAAGTTTGAGCTTTCATAGAATAAGTGGCATAAGAAAAGATTTCTGTCATAAATGAATTGTGCACATTCTATTGGCATGCTTTTAAGTAAATGTGAGCTGTATTTAAATTCTGCATACATTCTTAAGTTGTACTTAATAGGAAGCCATTTCATAGCAGAGATCTCAAGAAACTGGAAAACACCCCAATTACTTGAATTACTTTCTCAAAGAAATTCTGCAATCAGAATATTTTCAGAGCAAACATAATCGACTAAAACAAGGATAATAAAGCTAACAGTGGATTTCTTTCTACTTTTTCCACTTCCCTCCTAGAATCAATATAACTAGCTGTCTTACCAGAAAAGATAGCCACTTCGAAAACGTTATGTCTCCCGTCTTTATCTCCTCTCTTCTAGCTGAGCAGTCTCAAAGTGGCTTTATTACTACCCAAGGTGGAAAACTGTTGTGCAGTAAAATCATCCACTTGATTCACAACAGCAACGTGAAGAGTCAGGTCTCCAAAGTGCTTAATGAGTGTGAGCTAAGGAGGTACAAATCCGTTGCCTTCCCGGCCATTGGAACAGGTTTGCGTTTCCTTGGGAAAACAATGAGGGCTGGGATGGGGGTGCTGGGACAAAGCTGATACCTCTGGTATGGATAACAGTAGACTTGTACAAGAAACTCTAAACTGTGATTTGTGGAAGTTCATTGAAGTTAGTTCAGACACTACCTGCACACCTCAAAAATGTTGCTTTTTTAAAGTATAAATATTACAGTCAATACTGATTGAGCAAGAATGCCTAAAGAAAAAGTATTGCTCTGAAAAAGACATTCTGCCCCAAAACAGGCTGTGTATCTCAGCTGGGCACCCTGCACCCTTCTGCAAACTTCCCATAGACCTTGCTTTGGGATTTCAGCTACATGGAAGAGCTGGGCTTGGAGTTTGTAGGCAAAGAAAGCTGGAGTTGTCCTGAGACCAAAACCTTGCCTGGCTGACTGTGGGAATTTTGGGCTGGGTATTCAATAGCTGCAGTTTACAACTTTTATCAGTCTTGTTTCAGCTTGCTTGCTCATCCTGTAGGGCTTCAGCTCCTGGGGCTCAGGGGCTGAGGTGTTAAGCTGAGGGGGTTACACCCAAGGCTGTGGCCAGAAAGCGCAGTGGGGGAGCAGAGAGGGGCGCCAGCCCGTGAGCTGGGGACCTGGTCCCTGTTCCCTGGATGCTGCCTTGATTTATGTACTGTTCAGTGTTAAGTGCCCTTTATTTTTGTTCAGGCAACGCAAGACAGAGTCCAGCAAAGGTAGCTGATGACATGTTGGATGCTATAGTGGAATTTGCAAGCAAAAGATCAGTACAGCATTTGAAAAAAATTAAAATTGTCATCTTCCAGACTTATATGCTTAAAGATTTTTATGAAAGCATGAAGAAAAGAGAAGATACAGATTTATCCCCAGCAGAGTCGTGGATGTCTATGTGTAAATGTAAGTAGGTGGGTTTTCCGTGTGCTTGGGGACATAAAATGAAAGATCTTTTATTTAAAACTAATACTTAACAAGTATTTCTTCACAGCATTTTTTGGGGGAAAAAAACAACCCACTGAGAAGAAAAAACCCATGTCTTTAGAGAAGAAAGTTAACTTAGCCACATTTCAAATTTGTGGAGAAAGCCAAAAAAATGTGGATGCAACTGAGTCCTGGATAAACAATTTAATTTTAAAGGAACAGTTTGAAAACAGTATTTCAGATGAGTTAATTGAAAATTTTGATGAGAGTCAAATTGATGCTTTGGCAGATCTCCAGAGAAGAAAGCATGTTACCATTCAGCTTGAAAATAAACTTTCCCCTCCTTGCATTAAAATTTCTGGTGTTAGCAGGGATGTCTGTTTTGTTTCTGTGGAAGTTCAAAAAATGATTCAAAAAATAAAAGATACTGAAGAAGAACAATCCAAGGCGGAACTGGTTTATAACCTGGTAGAATGGAGGTATCCAGTAAGCACTGACAGCTTCGTTGCTTTTGATAAACTGACAAATATGCAGCTGGAGGATGCCAAAATAGCCAGAAAACCACATCTTACTGTCAAAATTAACAAGAACAACTACAAGGTGGATCTGAATACTCTACAAGCTATTGATGACCAAGGAAAAACCATGAAACTTCAACGTGTGCCAAAGAATGAAGGTAAATTACAGCTTTGTTAATAGAAAAACCTTTAACAGTGATTGCTGAATGATAATTCTGATAAATGCAGACTTGGGTATTCTGAAGTAAGCTATTCCATAGCTTTTACTTTCCCCCCCCACCCCCGACCCCAGGTATGCCGTAGCCAGCAGTTTTAGTTTCTTAATTAGTAGCAGGTATGACTGAAATCAGAACACCTATTTTAAATGCAGGTATTACATGTATGTATGTGGCTGTTGAGCATAGATCTCATGCTTAAGTCTGACAAAGGGAATGGCATATGAAGAATGTGTGAAATTCTGATTTTTTCCAATTGTTTTAGTTAGAGGCTGCTATGGGGATAATTAAACTAGAGGAAATGTAGAATCTCAGCAGAGCATTACAGAGCCAGTGATGTACTGAAGAGAGGGAGTATTTTTGGAGCAGCGTGCTGCGTAAGGCACCACCCTGTGAGGCCTCCGTGTGCGGTGGGTTGGCAGGAGTGCCTGCAGCAGGGCACCGGGTGGCAGTGCTGAGAGCCCAACCTCTGCTCTGCAGACAGGCAGGCGGTGGAGCTCCCCGCGCAGTGGGACGACATGCAGCAGGAGCGGGTCCGGCTGGTGTATCTTGGGCCCTGGCATCGGGAGTACCTGGACGTTTGGCTTCGGTTTCAGAAAACTTGTCCCGGCTTTCTCGTAGAGAAGGTAAAATCGTGTGATGGGGAAAAAATAACTCTTGGGCTGAAAATGTGTTTGCTGAATCTTTGTTTGTAAGGTGTCAGCAACATAATATGCCTGTCACGTGTCAGTCCTGCCAGCACTGCACGGGGGTGGACAGGAACCAAATCCAGTTTTCTAGGAGGTGCCCTGCCATTCCTACCTTCTGATAATGCAAAACCAGTGACCATCAGTCTTCTGGCTAATTCCTGTGTTCAAGTTAATGTGGTATCTCCAGTTAGGAAATTCTGTACTGAAGTGGAAGCATGAGCAAATGCATTCAAAATACAAAGGAAAGTACAAACTCCTTGCAGACTGGCCATAAGGCTTCCTACTAGTTTACTACTTCTTCCTTGTTGGTCCCAGAGCCTTTCAGGCTAGACTGTTGGTTTTAACCAAAGTGTCAAGATTTGATGCTGCTTATTGAAAGTCTGCAACAGTGCACAGAGATTGAATTGCCAGTGAGAGGATGGCATTACTCAGAATCAGGAGGAGTTGTAAATAGGAGAATATAATGAAACAAGGAGTGAGAAAATGTTTGAAAATTTTCTTCCACCATGAGATTCAATGAACATGGTCACTAAGACACAAATGTAAAATGGAACGGAAAAACGGAATACTACGTTCCATGTAGTAAAAACAGGTAATGACATGAAGTCTTTTTTCACTGGAACAGGAGAGCTGATACAGCAATGCCTTTGAGATTGTTCTTTGACACAGATACACTGTTTCCCCCTGTGCTATATTCACATTGTTGGCACAGGGAGCCAGCAACCTCCACCCTCCCAGCAATTTAGTTTGATATAAGGATTTCTTAGAGGTTGTTAAACTACACAGTAAATGAGGTACTTTTGACTTCCAAGCTGAGATTGGAAGAGAAACTTAAATTCAGCCTAATGCTATCACTACAGCCTCCCCTTTGGTGAGCAAACCCTCAGTAAAGATGATCAGCATGTACAGGAGGCATCTTACGTCATCGCCTCTGGCAGTGGTACAACAGCCTGTTTCTAAAAGTGACTGTGCAGCTACCACGATTGCTGCTGCACCTGGTGTACTGGGCAAGGGAAGTGTCTAGCAAAAACTACCAAGTTTGAAAACCTCTTATAAGCTGCTGTTGGGTTCTGATTTTTCAGGAAGCTCACATATTCTGTTCCCCAGCCCAAGCAACACAGTAATTTTTACTCTCCCCCGTTAGTGTCATTCTTCCAGTGTGGTTCAGTTTTAATGCTTTCCTGCCATGATAAATATTTGTCTCTACCAGTATAAATAGAATTATATTTTGTAACTTTGCAGATTGAAAGAATACAAAATCCCTTCCTCTGGCAGACGTATCAGATTAAAAAAAGATCTCTCTGTACAAAGAACAAAAATAAAAATAATGAGAAGTTGCTATTTCATGGGACAGCTCCATCTTCACTGAGCACAATCAACTACAATGGATTTAATCGTGGGTTTGCTGGAAAGAATGGTGAGTTGTTATCTAAGGCAATTAATTTCCTAGACTTGTGTGTGGTGCTAGGGAACGTCAGTGTCACAGCACTGTCAGCACAACGGGAAGACTGAGTAAAGTTGGAGAAGAAATTAATAAACACCTGCAAAGTGTAATCTATATGGAGAGAGGAATTAACTTGTTCAGTTAATCCCTTCTTGATGAATGCCACCATCTAAAGGGTATCAAAAAAAGCTCACCTACTTCAAAATGAAGCCTGGGCGGGTTTTGAGAAATGTTTTGTATGATCTGCCTACAGCAAGGAACAAGGACCGTTGTTGAACATCCTCAGCTGAGATACCAACCACTAGATGCTGGTATCTCATCTCCTCTCTTAGGTGAAGGCAGGTAGCAAAGTAAAGGTGCAGGTATTTCTCCTGTTGCCTCCAAAGATAAAGACAGCACAAGCAATGAGAAGATTCTACTCCCCTACTGTTTTTATGTACATTAAATCAGTTGAAATTAATTTATTACTTCTTCCCCTTCAATAGTTGTTAAGGTCAAGTATTAAAAATTTAGCAGAACAACTTTCTACGTTAGCTCAAAGATTGTTTTGTCTGGTTCCTCTAGTCCAGTCATATTATGGTCATTATTTGGTATAAAGGACAAGACTTAAGAAGTGGAAGTTGGGCTGAATCCAGGTGCCAGTCACTCTCACAGGTCTTGCAACTTTGTCTAAATATTTTGTTCTGTTCTTAATGTTTTCTTCCTTAAGACACAACTGTATATGCCTAGGGCTGACTTGATCCTGAGAACCAGACAGTTTAAACTTGGATTTAGTTGAGACTTCAGTGTGGTTTGGATTCAAAAGTAGATATTTCTCTGTCTGGATCCTCTAGAGGTACTTACACTGGTATTTTCTTGAGAAAATGAAGTCAAAAATATATGGGGCTGTGCACAGATTTAAACGGCAGACACCACTTCTTTTTAAAACTTGACCAGGAGAATGTAGTTTTGCTTTCCTGCTCTCTGGTAGTGCCAGGAGGTTGGAGCAAGAGCCCTAGGTCCTCATGTCCTCTCTGCCTGTGAGTACTGACATCCACCTCTCCATCTCAGCCATGATTTATGATAGGAAAGGCACAGTTCCATTCTGTCAGGCAGGGTAGCTGTGCAAAATATCCAAAGGCCAGAGCAGCCAGATAGGAAGGACCCGTCTGGCTTGAAAAGCTTTCTACCAGTGCCAAACAAAAATCTGTCTCAGAGAAATGCGATTCCTCTGATGTGCTGTGACGTGTAATTGGAAAACTGTCATTAGAATTAGTCATTTTAAGATGAAGAGGCTCTGACTATTTGCAATTTGATGGCTTGCAGGCTACACAAGGTTAAACAGAGCAGAAGCCTTTCCCCAGGGCAAAGGGCAGTCAAAACCTGGGTGTTATTTACCTGACATCTAAGTGGATTCATATTTGTTTCTGATACAAAAGATTATTACTATAATTTGGTGTTTAAACTCTAAATAAAAAAAAGAGGGGGGAGCTTTAGAGATCCTCATGGGAATAAGAGCACTAACTATATTTGACAACGTTGTCTTTCCAAACAGCTGCAGCCATTGGAAACGGGACCTACTTTGCTGTTGATGCAAGTTATTCTGCTCATGATACTTATTCCAGGCCGGATCCGAATGGGAGAAAATACATCTACTTGGCTCGGGTCCTCACGGGGCAGTACTGTGCTGGGAGCAAAGGACTAGTCACTCCACCACCAAAAAACAAGGCAGACCCTACTGACCTTTACGACAGTGTGGTTGATGATGTGCAGAACCCAAAGATGTTTGTCATATTCAGTGACATCCAGGCATATCCCCAATACCTCATTACTTTCAGAAAATAGAATATTTTTAGTAGTCTAGATTTTCTAGTGCCTTTTACGTGTGAGAATTAACAGGGCATTTCTTGATTCTTGTTTACATCTGACTTTCTTAACCTAAATGGTTATCTATCTGTGTGTTTAAATATGACTTCAAATTATCAACAGAGTTAGGCTAGGATCAGCAAATGTTTTAGAATGTGCACTTTGAATGCCCACTTTCAAATTCAGTGATGCCGAGGCGTAGGCAAGAACTGTGAGAACAGCCCTGACTTCTCCTTGACCAGAGGCAGGAGAGGGAGCTGCTCTGCCTCACCCGAAGCAGGAGGTGCAGGGTAGGTCACTGTTCTTATACTTTGTTCCTATTTCCAGTATTAACCATGAAGCACCAAGTGCCTGTGAGTATTTATTTAAAATACTCGTTTTGGGGGATAACCTCACCTGCCAGCAGTTTTCAGTCATTCTCAGGTATCCACTCACTTTTGTTGGTGCCTAGAGCCCTGGAGAAAAAAAATTAAATCTCATATAGAGTGTATGCTATGCATGTGTTGTTTCAACCGCTTCTGCTATTCTAGTGTACTTTGTTATTCCCTGGCTATCAATTCCTGTAGCAGACCTCTTCCTCAGGGGCATTCTTTGCTTTGTGGTCTCCTGTGTCAAGTACATACAGCTTCCACATGCCATGTCCTTCCTCCTGAAGCGTTCAAGAGAGTAGAGACTTTTTATTTGTTCTGGTCATTAACCCCCTTCTGTAGAACTGCCAATTTGTAGATAGTCATCTAGAGTTTATCTCAGGTTGGAAAATTTTCAAAATTTTTTTTTCTAAGGTTCTGTAAAGCATGTAGCTAATGGCATTTGTACATCTTGGCAGACTGTACACTTAATTACATTGATAGTCTTACAACTGCCAATCAAAAGCTGTCCAAATGTCGTTTATAATAAAAGGATTCTCAATCAGCTGTGTGGTGTTCCTTTGTGTGAACGACTCAGTAATACTCTTCAAGTAGGTCTTGCTTTACATTTGAATATCTTTATGCTACAGTGATGCTATAAATAGTGAGAAGCAGAAAAAAGCTTAGAGAAAAAAATTTTTCTCTTAGATTGTCCAAATACAGGCTCCAGATGAAATTATTCTGCTTTAGTCCAAAAGGAGCCCTGTGCTGCAAATAGCTGCGGGGATGGCTTAAAGCCCTGCCACTTTCCCACGATGTCCTCCTCGCCTGCAAAGGGGAGACGTGCCTAGGCTATCTGTAGGTGGTAATATAAAAAACTTCTGCTCTTCACAGCACCTGCCCCTGCAACACTTCAGATTGATATGATAAAGCAGGGAGTTTGTCTTCACAGCAGGGAATAGGGGGAAAACACTTTGTGGAGAGATACAATCACCATTGTTCCAAGGTGATAATCTGGCCACTTTACATACAAAAGAACCAAGCAGGAACCACCTAGATTATCTACTTCAAGATATTTACATAGCCTGAACCTCTGAACTTTGGGAACTAGTATGCATGCTTAATGAACTTATGCATAGTAACTTCTCCTCCCAGGGGAGGCATAAAATGAAGTTAATGAGACATGGGATGTATGATGAGAAGGGGGGTACATGTTGAGGGGGATATGTAATAGGCGTACCGGGCAGTCTGTACACTCTGAGTACCTCAGCCAATGGGGAAAGGAGGAGGGAAACTTGCGGCCGGGAAATTAGGATAAAAAGGGGGCTGCGTCGCCCAGCAAAACTGAGAGACCCCACTGGGATCTGCCCGTGGACTCTCCCTTTATTCGAATAAAGTATATTTTACAGGACTCCTCTGTCTCCTATTGGAACAGCAACCTCTGGCAATGGCATTTTCCGCACAAGATTAACGTCCTGCATAAATTCCGATTTAAAGCAACAAGGATTTTATTTTCCTGCTTTCCTAGAGTTTGCCCCCTGTGAAAAAGCAAGGATGCTTTTCTCCCTTCTTTACTTTTTCAGGTAGTTTTCTGTATTGTGGAAATACTGCAGCAGCCAGAGCAACTCAGTCTAGCTGATGGCACCAAGCATCTGCTGGGTTCGGCCCTGCTGCTGCCCAGCTGCCCGTGAGCTGGGACACACCACTTGCTATCGGCATGGCTCTGGTTATAACTGAATGCCTTGGAAAGCAGCAGGAGCTGCAAGGTGAAACACTACAGAAACGCAGACCATTTTTATCCCCAGTGGTGGTGATGGATGTTTCTTTACTAATTCCTGTTCTAGAAATGGTGGGATACTCTGTTGTGCAGTGCTCACAGAGTGAGAAGCTGGAAAAAGCCTGCATTGTGCATGAAAAAGGAAATCCTAGTCCTGCACTCAAGTGCTGGGATGGGCTGGCCACGCTGGGATAGCCGCAGGAGGACCTTTGTTTCTGGGCAGTAGGATTTCAGACTCATAGCCTGGAGCAAACCCCCTTGCAGCACAGGACACCAAGGAGCTGGTCTTGGAGAGAATGGGAGGCCTTGCTGACCTGGGCATCTGGCACGCCAACCTAAAACTGGCTTTAATAGCAGTGATAGAATAGAAAGAAATGTGAGGATGTGTCTTCACAATAAGGGATGATAAGGGAACAATTTGTAGAGTGGAGAGGTGCAATCACTGGTGCTCCAAGGTGATAAGTTGGTCAGTTTACATATAAAAGAAACAAACAAGAAGGTAGGAAGACCCTGGAAACTTGAATGAGAACTAAACAAAACCAGCTACCTACCTCAAGAAGTTTGGATAGCCTAAACTTTTGAACTTTAGGAACCAGTACACGTGCGTAATAAGCTTATACATAGTAACGTCTCGTGAGGCATACAACGCACGACGTGAACGGGGATATGTAGTAGGGGGGCCGGGAAGTCTGTATTCCCCCAGTACCTCAGGAAACTTGCGGCCGGGAAATTAGGATAAAAAGGGGGCTGCATCCCCCAGCAAAACTGAGAGACCCCACCGGGATACACCCGTGGACTCTCCCTTTATTCGAATAAAGTATATATTTTTACAGGACTCCTCTGCCTCCTTTGTGAACATCAACCTCTGACAACGTCATTTTTTCGCACAAGGCCCTGCTAAGAGGGCTTTCCCCAGCTTTCGTACATACCCCCTTTAAGTACTGAAAAGCTGCAATAGTGTGTCCCCGCAACCTTCTCTTCTCCAGGCTGAACAACCCACTCTCTCAGCCTTTCTGCATAGGAGAGGGGCTCCAGTCATCTTCGTGAGGCCTCTCTGGCCCTGCTCGAACCGGTCCGTGTCTCTCTTGTGTGTTCGGGGCTCCAGGTGGGGTCTCATCTCACAAGAGCGGAGCAGAGCGGCACAATCGCCTGCCTCAACCTGCTGCGAGGCCCTGCATACCGCAGGGCAGGGCAGGGCAGGGCAGG